GGTGCCTGGGAGGCCCTGGAGGAGGAGACTTTCCCAGGGCCTATGAGAAGGAATTCGGACTGAGTGCAGTTTCTGTATGACCCATGAGCTAATGATGGGTTTTTAAATTTTGTAACAGTTGAAAACAAAAGATTTTATAACATATGAAAATGGCATGAAATTTACATTTCTCTGTCCATAAACAAAGTTTTATTGGAGCACAGCCACACTTAATTTTTGTGAACATATCATCTATGGCTGCTTTTGCAGTTGAGTAGTTACGGCAGAGGCTGTATGGCCCATATGTACCGTCTGCTCCTTTACAGAAAATGTGTGCCGATCCCCGCTTTAGGGTTTTCTAGATGCCTTGTCCTTTCCAAAATGCTTTGCTGTTCCCAGAATACTTTAAAGCCTACTAAGTGCCTTGCCATTTGCCAGGATGTCTCAATTTGCAGAGCACTTAACAGTCTAATAAGGGTTTTGCTATTCACCAAGGATGTGCAAGTTCAGTCTAGAGTCTACTAGGTGTTCTGCCATTGCAAGGGATGGCCCCTTTGAAAGTTCGCCCGGCACCTTACAGTGTACTAAGCGCATTGCTGTTGGCTGAGGACCTCTGTGCCACGGCGCCCTTCAGTCTGCACTGCTGCTGCCCAACACCTGTTCCTCTCTCTGCCCCACTGACCCCTGGGTGATCCCACCTCAATGATGTGATCCCTTCCGTCCTTGCCATGTAGGGCTTCCACTGCACAGATGTCCAGTCCCCCAAAAATCTCCGAGCACGTGTCCACCCACAGCTTGTATCTGTCAAGACAAGGGGCAGGAAGCCTGTCAGTCTCTCACCTGAGCTGCCGAACTCCCGCCCACCCTTCCCCTCACACCCTGAGATCCGGTTGCGCACCTGTCAGACATGGCAATCTGCTCCAGCATTGCAGAGCCAGTGTTGGTCTTCCAGTTCCCTGACACTGACGTCCTCCTGGGGGACAAGGGGACAGAGGCTCAGGGGCACCTGGGCTGCATGGGGCAAGGCAGGGGACCCCTCCCAGATCCTCGGTCTCTCCACTCACATGTAGGCCTTGTAGTTCTGCCCAATCTTCTGGACACGCACATCGTATTTGGCATCGATGAAGGGCTCAGCAGTGGCATATGTCTTGGTCAGTGCCACGACACTTGCGATGTCCTGGAAGTCATGCTGGTTGTCAACCTTGACCTGTGGGTGTGAGGGCAAGGAGTGGGGCCTGGTCAGGATGGGGCAGCTATGGGGAGTGGGGGTTCCTGGGGGAGCATGTACACATAACACACAGGTGAAGTGAGTACGCAAAAATTAGGTGGACATGCCAAGGCGCTCAAGCAGGCACAGTTGTGGGTCTCCTGTTTTGTACATGTACACACAGACACAAGGCTGGGTGTGTAGAACACTGAGCATATCAACAAGTATTGAATTGTCCACTTTAAATGGGTGAGTTTAGGGTATGTAAATTGTTTCTCACTAAAGCTGTGAAAAACCTGTGTATATACAATATATGAATATAGGCATCCAGACGCAAAATCAGTTATACACACAACACGCAGAGATACAGAAACTCGGACACAAGTTACAAGTCTGCTTTCTACGTACACACAGACAAAATCAGATGGATATAAAGCATACAGGACCTCAAGCCTTTGGAACATGAACGATCACACCACATCGTGTGTGTTTGGCACGGGCATGCATGTACACACAGACACAATGCTGGAGACAGAAGCAAAATAACAAGACACGCAAAATTGGCTGAATGTGGGAGGAAAAATGGGTTGATGACATCAGCTGAATGTGAGAAAATAAAAATCTGTTTGGTACAAAAGTAATTATAGTTTTTACCATAAGAACTGGCAAAAACCAGTCGGGCGCGGTGGCTCATGCCTGTAACCCCAGCACTTTGGGAGGCTGAGGTGGGTGGATCACAAGGTCAGGAGTTTGAGACCAGCCTGGCCAATATGGTGAAAGCCTGTCTCTACTAAAAATACAAAAATTAGCCGGGCGTGGTACTGGGTGCCTGTAATCCCAGCTACTCGGGAGGCTGAGGCAGAAGAATCACTTAAACCTGGGAGGCAGAGGTTGCGGTGAGCCAAGATTGCAGCACTGCACTCCAGCCTGAGCGACAGAGCAAGACTCAGTCTCAAAAAAAAAAAAAAAAAAAAAGTACTGGTAAAAACCACAATTACTTTTGCGCCAACTTGATAGACAGTGACACCCCAGGACACATGATCACACAGAATGACTGGTGTGCACTGCATACATCTACCTATGCACAGCCCAGCCAGAGACTCACCTTGCCCATCCCAGAGTGGGCATGCCCCATCTTCACAACCACAGGGTATGTCGTGCTGCTGAGCTGGTGGGGAAAGGCAGAGGAGGCACGGTCAGGGCAGAAAGGGCGACCTCCGGGGGTGGGGTGGTACTGAGGGGACCCTAGCCAGTGGGAACCGCATTATGAGCCACTTCCCAGGACACATGGGTCAGAGACAGGCAGGCAGCAGCTGGGGGTCACACAGTGCCTCCGCCTCCAAGCCCAGAATTGAACCCAGAGCCCTGTCTGTCTGTCCCTTCCTCCACCCCACCACCAAGTTCCAGACTTCCCACCCCTGCTTTCCCGAGCAGAGGCAGGAGATAAGCGTGGGGTACTTTTCCAGTAAAAAGAAAGTTTGTTTTTACAGTGGATGGATGATAGTGAGGTGAGTGTGTACCAGTGCATGTGTGTGTGTGGGTGTGGTGGTGAACATGTAGCTACTGGATCCCTTAGCCAAACCTTGTACGTAAGCCTCACCCGCACACATAAACTCAGACATATATCACCAGACCCAGAGATGCCAGTGCACATTGAGACTGACGGCCACAACAGGCTCAAAGTAGCAGGCTCCCGGCAGCACAGACACTCACACAGTCATTCAGTCATCTAGGTGCCCAGAGCATGGGTCAGCAGCCAGCACTCCTGGGCAGTACACATTTGACACCCTTAGGCACATGATCAATAGTTTTGGGCACACACCCACCCAGGCTCCCTTTCCTCACCCAAACCCACATAACCATCAATGGAACACACACAACACAAAAGATTACACGTGCAATCAAGAGACACACAAACTCCAGAGGTATGCTCCACAGAACCGGGCACATACTCAACACACAAGCACACACACAGCACCCCTAGGCAAATGCCCAACAAACAAGGTCCTACACAACACACACAGGGATATGCACTTCTGGGCATTCACATCACCAGTGAGACCCGTAACAGACCCACGCCACAATCCTCGGCACAGAAAAAGTATATCTAGACACACACACATAGCATGCCTTGCCACATATACAATACAGAGAGGCTACACACAATCAGAGACACCCACTACTCAGTTTGCAGAAATCATTCCCGGGCACCCCCACCCGAACACACACACACTCACACACTCACACATTCAGGCGAGAGGGATACCTCAAGTCTCCCCCAATCCCAGGTGGTGTAGAGGAAACCAGGTTCTCCGGTCCCAGATGGAGTAGAGGAAACAGGTTGAAAGGCCCTAGGCTGCCCCTCCCCCCCACCCCCACAGCACAGCTGCACAGCGCCCCTCTGGTGGCCCTCCCTCTTGCTGACAAGGTAGAAAGATGGCATTCCCGGAGGGGCTGCTGGGGCGGTGGTGGTTCCCAGTTCCCGACAGGCACAGGAAGCCCGCAGACTCAGGGTGACCGATTGACCTTCAGGCCTCCCTCTGCACCCCTCCTTCCTCATTTCCCAAATGACTGGCATCATGATGAGGTGGGCTGAGAGGCATGATGTTGGGGTGGGGGTTTGGGGCATCTCTGGGCAGCAGGCCAGGGAAATGATGCCAAGGCGGGTGCATACAGTACCACCCAGGCACAGCACACAGAAGTGCACAAGGCACTCACGGTTACATGTGCAACGCAGACCAGACCTGCTTTATCGAGGCAGGTAGACAACTCCCAGAAGCAACACACAAAACACACAGGCATACGCCTGACTCTCAGGAATGGAAACACAACACACCAGAGGGCTGTGTGTACACACCCATACCTCCCCCGACAATCCCGAGGTTTCCAGGTGCCTCTTTTCATTGTTTTCTCTGGACTTGAGCCTGAATGTAACACTCTGTGTATGTGTGTGTGCCCGTACGTGTGTGTGTGCAGGGCACTTTGAACTCTGAGAACTCCTGGAAAGCCCTAGGTCTGAAGCTTGGCCTTTCCTCTTCCTAAGGCCATGAAGGACCCCAGGCAGGTCACACCCCCTCTCTGAGCCTCAGTTTCCCCATCTGTACAGAGGGCACAATGAGGCCCAAGCACCTGGTATGACACCTCTCCATGAACACCCCTCCCACTCTCCATTTCAAAACTGCACAATAACCCAGATCCACAGGACTCCAAATGTAAACAGTCGGCAAAACTCTGTGCTGACTCACGTTTCAGAGTCAAAGAGCTGGCGTCAGAACCAGAGTCAGCGAGGAGCCAGGCAGGACTTTCCCTGCCCTCACTTCTCCCTCGGAGGCACCAGGTTACTCAGCCCCAGTCACATTCACTCTCACTGTCCCACTTTCACAATCACCTCCTACAGATTTTTTTTGGTTTACTTCCCTTCCTCCCTGTTTTTGTCCCCCGCACCCCCCACCAACAGAACCATTTCTTCATTCTCATTCCTGGGCAGGTCACTCAGTCCTTTTGTGTCTAAGTTGCCTCATCTGTATAATGAGAACATGAGCTATATCTAACAGGAATATTGTGAGAAATAAGTTAGTTATTTCAGGAAAAATGCTCAACATGCTATCGAGCATACAGTAAGCCTCCATCCTCAAGAAGTGTTGAGTACTGTTATTATTGGCTTAACATCTCTTCCTTCACTAACATTAATGAACAAAGAGGCAATCAGGATTGACTAAATGAGATAATGTCTGTAGAAAGACTTTACAACAGTGCTTTGGGTTGGAGTGCAGAGGCATGATCTTGGCTCACTATGACCTGTGTCTTCTGGGTTCAAGTGATTCTCCTGCCTCAGCCTCCTGAGTAGCTGGGATTACAGGTGCATGCTACCATTGCCAGCGAATTTTTGTATTTTTTAGTAGAGACGGGGTTTCACCATGTTGGCCAGGATAGTCTCGATCTCTTGAACTCGTGATCCACCTACCCTGGCCTCCCAAAGTGCTGTGATTACAGGCATGAGCCACCGCACCTGGCCTTTTTCAAATAGAGACAGGGTTTCACCGTGTTGCCCAGACTGGTCTTGAACTCCTGAGCTCAAGCAATCTGCCTGCCTCAACCTCCCAAAGTGCTGGGATTATAGGCGTGAGCCACCGTGGCTGGCCAAGTGCTTTCTTAATAGATTTAGAAGGCTGGGTGCAATGGCTCACACCTGTAATCCCAGCACTTTGGGAGGCCAAGGAGGGAGAATCACCTGAGGTCAGGAGTTTGAGACCAGCCTGACCAATATGGTAAAACCCTGTCTCTACTAAAAATACAAAAATTAGTCAGACATGGTGGCATGTGCCTGTAATGCCAACTACTTGGGAGGCTGAGACAGGAGAATGTCTTGAACTCCGGAGGCAGAGGTTGCAGTGAGCTGAGATTGCACCACTGCACTCCAGCCTGGGCAAAAGAGCGAGACTCCATCTCAAAAAAGAAAAAAGGAAAAAAAAGATTTAGGGGATACAGCTGCAGTTTTGTGACATGGATATATTGCATAGTGGTGGAGTCGGGGCTTTTAGTGTCACCATCACCCAAATAGTGTACATTGTACCCATTAGGTAATTTCTCATCCCTCACCCTCCTCCCACCCAGAACAGTGCTGGATACGCAGTAAGCACTCCGTGAGGGCTGCTGGTAGTTTTGGTTGTGTTCTTGTTATTGGGATAACATACCTGAGTTAATCAAATTTAATTAGCAAGGGAGTATGGTGAGTGAATGAGATAATTTATACAAACACTTCAGCACACAGTATACAGAAAGTGCTCAATAAGCGGCTGCCATCATCAATACCATTATTATTATGGATCTATCCTCCTCAAATTCAGGATGGTCATCAGAACCCCAGGGAAGATTCCTGCATTGTCAAAAGGCTGGTGGGCAAGGATTGCCCCACCCCATCCCCAACCTAGGGCATAGGTCCGTGGGGAAGGCGCAGGGCAGCATGGAGTGGGGATTGGTTTTCTACTGACTCGCTCACTTGCTTCTTCCACCATCATTCACAGCCACCCCCTTCCCAATGCTTATTCATTCACTCGCACCATTCCCTGCCTGCTAGGACGGTGCCACTCCTGAGTTACAATCCTGGCTCCAGGTAGCCTCAGTTAGAATCCCGGCCACACCCTGTGATCTTGGGAAAGGTCTTCAGTCCCTCTACGTCCCATATTTCCTCATCTGTAAAATGGGAATAGTGACTGGTACCCACCTCGGAGATTTGTTGTGATCTTTGAGTGAGATAAACTATACTGAGTGCCTAGTATACAGTCGGTGCTATATAAATGCCAGCTATTTGTCAGTATTTTTTGAGACCCTGGCTTTCGCTCCAGGCCACCTGAGTTCCAGTCTCAGTTCTGCTATGTATTGACTCTGTGATCCTGGATAAGTCACTTAACCGCTCCGTGCCTTAGTTTCCCCACTTTGTATTCCTCCCCATTCACCTGCTTTATCTCCCTCCACTGCTGCTACTTAATTTGTTCCCTCTCTGCCACCCCTCACCAGCATGTCAGACATACCAAACAAGGGATTTTTGTGTGCTTGGCACACAGTAGATGCACAATAAATGTTGAAGGGCTGAACTAATTTGGGTTTGAGCCACAGAGAGCTTGGGGGATGTGGGTGATTGGATAGATTCTGGAGACTCTAGAGGACTGGGCTGGGGTGAATGCTGCCTCTAAGCTCTCCGCTGAGGCGGCTTGGAAGGAATAGTGACTGACGTGGAGGTGGGGGAGGGGGCTGGCCCGGGCAAGGCCTGGGGGGAGGGAAAGGAGGACGGTGGGAGAGGAGGAGGGTGTATCTCCTTTCTTCGGCCCGCCCCTTGGCTTCTGCACTGGGTGGGTGGATGAGTAATGCATCCAGGAAGCCTGGAGGCCTGTGGTTTCCGCACCCGCTGCCACCCCCGCCCCTAGCGTGGACATTTATCCTCTAGCGCTCAGGCCCTGCCGCCATCGCCGCAGATCCAGCGCCCAGAGAGACACCAGAGGTAAGCAGGGCCCCGGGGTGGCCCAGCAGGGACTGGGGCTGGGTTGCAGCTTGGGTGCTGGCCACCAGGCCTGTGCACTTTAGTGCCAAATGCCTGTCTGCTCAGCTTGGCCTGCCGGTACCAGGACCCTGGGCTAGTCAAGGGGGAAGAGGGTCGGAGGCTGAAGCCGC